AACATTGAGCCCAACTTCGGATTTCATCTTACTTCAAGAACTGAACGAAAATTCGTGTTTTTTTAGCTTTGTCATATTCTCATTACAGGACAATGAACAGAGAGGGGTAGCTGTAGACACCTATTTTTGTTTGGGGGTTATTTACTATTTTGTACATAGAGTATATAGTATAACTAATATATAGTTTTTGAAAATATTATATAATTTTTGAAAATACATATGTTTTTCGAATATATATATATATATTTATTTGTGTGTGTGTGTGTGTGTGTGTGTTTTAAAAATATATATAATATAGTTTTTTCTGAACATATATAATATGGTTTTTGAAAACATATTATATTATAGTTTTTGAAAAACATATATAATATAGTTTTTGAAAATATTTTTTGAAAACTAAGTTTTTAAAAAGAAATATTACATATAGTATTTTTTGAAAACGTATATAATATAATTTTTGAAAATATAGTTTTTTTGAAAACATATATAATATAAATTTTAAAATATAATAATAATAATATTATTATTATTATTATTATTATTATATCATTATTATTAATAATATTAATATTTATTTTTACTTCATCTTTATTTTTAGGTCCATAACCAAGGTCCAAACTGAAGTACAAGCATCCAAGACCATGTTCAATTCCAGCAAAGGTCTAAAGGTGAAGCCCATCTGCCTGACTCAACAAACAGGCCTAGTTGGCCCAATCGGATAAACATGTTTGACCTAGCAAGCAAACCCGACTGGAGCACATAGCAAATATTCGAGCCCAACCGAGCCTATAGGCCTGAACTAGTAAGCAAACCTAGTTGGAGTCCAAAGGAAGTATTAGGGTTTCACAGTTTAGCAATTGGCGCTGCACGAGGAGAGCCATTAGATCAATTTGTAATTGGACGATACATATTAAACAAGGATTAGGGTTTTAGGGCCCTAAAAATGTTATCCCGGCGTAGCCAATCCTAGGTCATTGGATCTGCAAACAATTCAACGACCAAGATTAAATCCCTGAACATTCCAAAAGCTCGAAAACCCACCACCAACAGCCAATTAACGGCACGTGAAAGCCACGCACCAGCGAAGCAGCTCCAAACATGCAACACATGCCAGACAGAATGTATTCGGACCAAATCACAAGTCAAAAGTCAAATCCAAAGCATGTTTTGGCAATAAATAACTCATGTATGGCAATAAAACCATAACAATCAACCAAATCAAACCAAAATGGAGTAAATAAAAAAAAAGAAACAAAAGACACAATCAAAATCCTGGTGGATACGAAAATAAGAAAGGAAAATCGAATCATTTTGGTTTAGGAAACAAGTCTTCCAACTCCTATAAATTTCTGTGAAAAAAAGGATAAAATAATCAAGTTCGAATTCAAAGAAACCCAAAATACAAAGCAAAAATCAAAGGAGAAAAGAAGAAAATACTTAAATTTTCACTACCGATGAGAGTATGAGTATCGAATGTCGTCAGAAAATGAACGATTGTCGTCCGAAAAGGTAAAGGTCGAGTGATATTTCTATAGATCTAGGCTCGAGGTTCTGTTGCTTGAGCATTTGGAGGTTGGATCTACGCTCGGGATAGTGAGACGAGCATTTTGGCCTAAGATAGAGTGATTCAACCACCATGGGTTGTAGTTGGAGCAGCGACGCGATAACGGTGGCTGTTGGAACAGATGGTCGGATGCTATAGAAAAGAGAAAATGATTTTGGAGAGTTTTTATGGGTTTTTGAGAGAATAAGAATGAAATGGGTAAGAAACAAAATATGGGGTATTTATAGGGGGATTGCTATGAAATTAGAAGATATTTTAATTATTTTCGCAATCCTCTTAATTTGAAGCGTAATTCATATTGGTCACCACATGTAATTTTACCATTGATTTTTAATTTTACTCAATTTAGTCCTCATTTCATTTTACTATATTTTATTATATTTTGATAAATTGACATTCTTTTTTGTTTTGTAGTGTTTTAATTTTTAATTTTTTTACTTCTTATTTATTATTTATTTCTTATTATTATTATTATTTTTAACGTGGGTTTTCTTTTTAGCAATTAATTTACTTCTCAAATAATTGTCAAAGGTAAAAAAAATTGGATTGATCTTAAATTTTATTTAAACTTTTAATTTTCATAATTAAGACGACTTGATAGTTAAATGGTATCGAAAGCCCGGTTCGGGGTACTGATCCTTCGCCGATCGTAAACGAATTCCGAACTTAATGAATTTCTGTTAAGACACAGACTTGGTAAACGGTAAGTAGGTATCCGATCAACCTAACCTGAAAATGATCGGTGGTGACTCCATCATTTCATCCAAGTCGGAACGCGATCATCCAACAGACAGTTACGACACTTCTTCTTGACAAACAAGATCGGCGCTCCCTACAAAAAGATGCACGATCAGATGAAGCCCTTCTTCAATAACTCCTGAATATGAGCCTTTAACTCTTTCAATTCTATCGGTGTTATGCAATAGGGAACAATGGACATCGAAGTTGAACCTAAAATTACCTTAACGCAAAACTCTAGTTCACGATCAGGCGGTAAACCCAATAACTCCTCTGGGTATACATCGGGAAAATATCTCACTGCTCGGATATCCTCGAGTTTTGGAACTAAAATTCAGGTGTCGACCACATAAGCCAAGAAGACCTCACATCCACGATCGATCATCCTTTAGGCTTTTACAGTTGACACGATCCTTAACTAGCCTGATTTCTTACTAGTTACCACTAACTTGATACCATCATCTTCCATGAGCTTAAACTGCCTAGCTTTATGCTTTAAACTAACGTAGTGTTTGGTTAACCAATCCATACCCAAGATCATGTCAAACTCCTGGAAGGGTAACTCTATCAAGTCCGTTAGGAATGTCTAATCTTAAATTTCTACTGGCCATCTTCAATGAATCTTGTCTACTAGGACATCTAGACCTACAGGGCCAGATACTCGAACTTCTACCTCTAAGTCTTCGGTTGGGATTTCTATCTCTTGAACTAGGTCAGAGTAGATATACGAGTGGGTTGGAATGAGATCTATTAATTCAATAACTAGAATGGAAAATATTGTTAATGCACCTGATATCAAGTTTGTAGTGTCACATTCCTCTCGATATCTCATTGTATCTACTGTCCAGATGTAGTGCTACCACCTCTCACTGGCCCTCGGTCTCTTTGCACAAAAAGTGTTAATCTCTAGGTCAATGTCAGAGTCACTCCCTGAACCCCTAAACAATCTCTAACAAAGTGGTCTAAGGAGCTGCAATTGAAGCAACCCCTAGATCTCTACTGGCACGTCCTCATGTCTCTCCTCCCACACTGAGCGCAGATTGGATGAGTGAAGACTCTCGTTGAATCACTGGGATTAGCTCTAGAGACTAAGGTCAGTTTTCTTCTTCTAGACTCATATCAAACCCCTCGATCTGAACTTTGACCAGTTCTCCTTGATTGCGTTGTTATGGGTATTCACGAACCCTGGCTATTTCAGGCCCTTTTGGCCAGAGTCTATGATGGTTTGATCAGCTCAGTGGCTATCCTAGACTTTCCTAGAGACTCAATAAACTTTATGGCCCTCTTAATGAGGACTCTCTTGGTCGTATTTTCCTAACGTGATAACTCATCAAAGAACCTAGGAGGGTCGGCTACCAGGTGTAATAGAATGTCGAGGTATAACCCTTTTCTAAACCTATGACAGCGATGCTCCTCTGTCGACACCAACTCTGGAGTATATCTTCTCAGCCTAAGGAACTCCCTCTCGTACTCTATCACATTCAGATCCCCCTGACTCAAGTATAGGAACTGCTCCCTCAAGTCATCGATATGAGCCTTACCGATGTATTTCCGATGAAACTCTATTATTAACTACTCCCAAGACGGTCTCTCTGGCTCCAACATAATCTCTATCGTCTGCTACCAATCTATAGCATCACCCTTAAGTAGGATCACTAAATTCAGAAACGGAACCCACAAAAAAAAAAGTTGCAGCAACTATAAACCCTAATTCCAGTTAGCATTTACAAACACAAAATTGAAGAGAAGTAAAAAAAAATAAGCATTATCGGGGATAACTACCATAAACAATTACGACAGCAAGGGAGAAACTAAAATATCAAATTACTGAAAAAGCAAATGCAACGGTAGGAACTTACTTTAATCAGAGCGACCAAGAAGAGAAAAGATATAAAGGGGGGATTCAAAGGTAAAATGAGACGGATTTATAGGGAGGAATAAACAGTGAGAGCATTGACGAAACTGGGTCGTTGGGGTTTTTTGAAACTAAGTTGAGAAGATGGATGTTTAATTGTTTATTTTAATGCTTTATGTTGTTGAAAGATTGTTTCTTTAATGGGTTTGCTCAGATTATTTTATGTGCGGAGGAGAATGATTAACTGTCACGTCAAAAAAAATAATAGAGGGTTAACTATCACACCAACAAAATCTAACGAATGTAGCGATAGGAACAAAAATAAAAATAAATTAAAAGTTTAATAATTATATTATAAGTTTTAAAAATTAGGTAATCAAAACATAAAAGTTCTGTTAATAAAAAAAAGGTTAACGGAGGGTTAATTATCACATCAACAAAATCTAACGAAGGTAAGATAAGGATATAAATGAAAACGAATTAAAAGTTTAATAATTATATTATAAATTTTAAAAGTTAATTGACCAAAATGTAAATACCCTACAAGTTTAGAGACTATTTTTAATTAGTGCAGATACAAAAATTATTTTCTAAAAGTAATTTAAACGAAAACATAACCAATGGTCGAACGCTTTATATTAAAGAAACAAGGGAACGAGTCAAAAGTAAAACAAACATAACAGAACGGCAACTACACCGAATCCATTCCGTCACCACCAACCAAACACTGAAACGTTGTATTAACTCACCGATCTTATTCGCCCTTCTTTTATTCCATCACCGGTGTGTTATTCATACAACTATCTTCATTTTTCGCTTAATTTTTTTCCTTTTTAATTTCAACCCCTTCAAACTAAATCCCCATCTCTCTCTCAAGCTCTCCTCGAAAGAAGCAGGCCAAAACAAAACCTTTCCAAGAAACGATGTCGCCTTCGTCGTCGTTCAGGAAGCCCTCGTGCCTTTCACGGAGATTCTCGGGATCGTGGAGATCATCGTCCAAAACGGCGGCGTTAGCAACGGTCTCGCCCACGGCCAACCAGCCGGATTTGTCTTCCTCGTCTTCGTCTCCGGCGGGGGAGGGACGGGATTCCTGGTCCACATTGCTGCCGGAGTTGTTAGGTGAGATCATGGAGCGCGTGGAGGCGAGTGAAGATCGGTGGCCTCTGAGGCAAAACGTCGTCGCATGCGCCTGCGTATGTAAGAAGTGGAGAGAAGCTATGAGAGAGATCGTTAGGGCTTCTTCTCCTGGTAGCGGAAAAATCACTTTTTCTACATGTCTTAAACAGGTAATTTAAAGATTTCCTTTAATATTTTTCTTCCAATTTTTGTTGTATTTTTAATTGAATTTGGGATATAATCATTTCAAATTTTTCATATTAAAATTTGTAGGATTCTAAATGTTCCGCAGTTGGTGAAATTTTTGTTTTCTTTTGTTTATTTGTTTGGATCTTAATTTTTTTATAAATTTCTTTACGTTTGGATTTTATTGATGGATACATTTTGTTCTTATATCAATCAATTTAGGGAATTGCATTTTTCTTCTCCTTTGTAGTGGTTAATTTTAGGGAAATGTTGACATTTGAATATCGATAAACTTCTTTGCTTCTAATATAAAGGAAACTTCTTTTTCCTGTTCTTGGAAAATTATCCTATGAGGGTAAGGATTGTTTTCTGGGCGATTCAGAAATTTGGAATTGCCACTCCCAATCATCATAAAGTAACTTCTTTTTTTCATTTGCACAAATGAAATCTGAAAACAAAATAAAGCATATAGAATTTATCTGTTTTGCAATCTTTAAATTTGTTTGTTCGCTTATTGCTGTTAGCTTGAGGTGTAGATTTCAGAAATTTTCTCCCCTGGTTCTGGTTATGAAGCTAAAGTACATTTGGGATTCAGAATTTTCAACCGATTAATTTGTTGCATGTCTCTATTTGATGGTTATATTACCTTTTGCTAATGCAGCCTGGTCCAAGTGATATTCCAAACCAGTGTATTATAAAGCGGTGCAAAAAGAACTCGACATTCTACCTCTATCTTTCTCTTACACCATGTAAGTGGTTTTTTTTTTTTGGTTTCAAAAACAAAGCATGATGAAAAAATCAATTCGCATGCTCACATACATGCAAGTAATGAAGTTGAAAAAAAATGGATCAAAAGTTGATAGGGACATAATTGACTTTTTCTAAGATTCTAAATTGACTTTTGATTTTTGACTGGATGGTGGATTTTTTGTCTTCCCACCTATATGTTTGCCTAAGTCTGCATGACTTGTTCTTAACCTTGAAAATATCCAGAACTTTAAACAAAGACCATCCATCTGCTTAATGTTTATTGTTTTATTTCAGTGAATCAATAGAACTAGAGCTGAATAAATGAGTAAGAAAGAAGACGGAACTTCAGAAAACTTAGGTTATAAAAAACGTCTAGTTTTCTATCAATTCAAAGAAAATAATAGCAAGAATAATTGTGTTGGCTGTAAAGCCTACAACTTATTTATGTAGGTTTACCTTCTTATAAGCAAAGTTTTAATCCTAACCCTAGATTTTGAAATTACAAAATAAAATATTAAAATTATGCTCATGCATCAATGTATATTTGCCAAATTGAAATAGGTTACATTATGTCTCCAAGCAATTATTTCCCTTGAAAATGTTGGCAGTTGGAAAGCTACTTGAGTTTGTTACCTTGTGATTTCAGTTCTTGAGGTCATGTAGAAGGGTTTTATTGTTCTTAGCCTATCTATTTCCTTGTTTGTTGTTACCATGGGACTAGATTATGTTAGTGGTTGAAATCTGCCTTATTCGAACAATTTTCCTGATTTTTGGCAGCGTTCACCGACAAGGGGAAGTTTCTATTGGCAGCAAAAAGATATCGACATGGTGCTCATATTGAGTATATTCTATCCCTTGATGCAGATGATATATCTCAAGGTAGCAATGCCTATGCTGGGAAGATAAGGTAGGAGAACCGTATGGTGTTTCAGTGATGTATTTTGTGTTATGATCCTTCTCTTTCTGGGACTCTGTTGACAGAAGCTGCACTTTGAATTTAGGGTATATTTACGTTTCTTAAGTGTACAGTTTTTAAATGTCACCGACTCACCGGAGCCATTTTAAAAAATATCTGAATAGAGAAGCTGTAATATTTGGTATATAGGTGGGATATGGTTGAATTTGAGAGAGCATGTGGAAGATTACTTATATGGTGGGAGTAGCGGTGTATTTCTTTTGCCATGTTATCCTAAAAATAGAATACTTTAGTGTTCCTTTTATATCTTTTAGCTGACACTCACATGTAAATTTAAAATCTTTGCAGTTCGGATTTTTTAGGTACCAACTTTACGATCTTTGATAGTCAGCCACCCCACAGTGGTGCCAAACCTTCGAGCAGTAGATCAAGTCGCAGATTTGCAACTAAGCGAATCAGCCCCCAAGTTCCAGCTGGCAATTTTGAGGTGGGAAAAGTGTCTTACAAGTTCAATCTCTTGAAATCAAGAGGTCCGAGGAGGATAATCTGCTCTGTGAAATGCCCTTTGCCAGAAGAAAGGACCGACAAGCATTTAGATGACTACGAAGAGAAAATGCCCGAGAATGCTGCACCCGGTCATACAATTTTGAAGAACAAAGCTCCAAGATGGCATGAACATTTACAGTGTTGGTGTTTGAATTTCCACGGTCGGGTAACAGTAGCATCTGTGAAAAACTTTCAGCTGTCTGCGATTGTAGACCCAAGCCAACCAGGAGGGAAAGGAAATGAGGAAACGGTTCTCCTCCAATTTGGGAAAGTTGGGGATGATACATTCACCATGGATTATAGGTATCCCTTGTCACCCTTTCTTGCATTTGCCATCTGCATAACAAGCTTTGGTACGAAATGGGCTTGTGAATGATTTACTTTTCAAGTGTTAATATTTGTATTGAGTTTACATGTTTAATATAAGTATTTCTACATAATTTAAATAAGTTATGGACAGCCTTTGTTTAATGGTACAGAGAAAATGACTTTCATGTTCCTATTGTATCTAGAAGGAAATGTTGGTTGCAAAACATATCTTCTGTTAGTTTACATCAACGAGCTACTCATTAGTTAATATATATATATATATATATATATATATATATATATATATATATATATATATATATATATATATATATATATATTGGGTAAGATCCATTTACATTATATGAAACTCAAGAATTTATTCAGTCGTACCTAATTTTGATTCACTACTTCCTTCCAGGAGGAGGGAAAATGAGCATAAAATTCCAATAGCACAGTTGATCTGATGCTATAGTCGAGAACACGCATAAGCTAGCCATAATAATAGTAGGAAAACATTCATTTACACCACCAAGTTTTAGGACTCGATACGCTGGGCAAATTTGAGTTCAGATTGTTCTTTCTTTCAATGACACTCTCTCACTTTTTCCTTCGCAGCTTTGCCCCAAGTGCTCTCTCCAGCTTACAGATTATCTGTTGATTAGGAATGGCTTTTCCAGATTCATACTCCTGTATGATCTGGGGCTTCTCATTGATCATCTGTGGGATGACAGAAAATAATTCACTTAAAGAACTTAACATATAAACAAAGACTCATCACACTCTTAGGGAATTACACATGAACACATGCAAACATAGAGACCTGAGCAAGTTGAGCCTGGGTAAGTTTCTTATCCATTCGAGCTTGCATGATGGCTTTCTTTAGTTCAGTTGGCACTAGCTCATCTTTTCACGAGTTTAAACATCAATGGAAGCCATCCATGAGAACTGGTATGAACACGTGCAGTATGGACTGCAGGTAGGATTATATACATTAAAGATACAAGTTTATAACAAATGATTCACCAGGTTTGAGATCAAATTAAATTATATGATAGCCAATTACATAAACCTAAAGGCATCTCGCTTGTTATGGAGATACAAAAGAAATAAGTAGATATAATCATAGAAGCATAATTGATCTAACTAAACTAATGGGGATATAGTGCATAGAGATCAACGTGTATAGGACCAAAACAACCCAACTTCCTCAAACAATATAACAAAGAATGATTTTTTTTTCTAAAAAAAAGAAGAATATATAAAAGCCCCTAACCTTACAAAACAAAGGAAAACAAAACACAAACAGGCATGAAATAAAAATAAATTCATAAACCCCCTCTGTTCATATTGCAAAACCATTTGCTAAATCCCTTTAATAAATCAAGGAAAACTACTATACTAGTTATACAAGATCACACAATCTAAAATCTACTTTAAATCAATAATCAGTTCACATTGAGAACATACAAATCATTAAAATCAATCCCAACATATGCATTCCTTCAGAAATTATTGTATTACTTTTATACATAAAATAATTCAGATATAACTGGGTAAATAGATAACAACAGAATAAATATTTCTTACGAGCGAGATTTTCAGTGTCTTCATCGAGCTTCCTCGTGTTCAAAGAAGTACACTACTTGATGCCGACCTGTTCGTCCCAGCGTTTGCTGCAAAATTCCCGTTTTCAAAAGTAAGATTAATTTCCCAATAAAATAAAAGGATCCAGTAAGTAAATCTGTGGACTTTTGGAAAAGAAAATACATTTTTTGATGGATTCATTCTCGGCACCAGCACAGCGGGCGGCGTTAACGACTTTCTCATCCTTCTTGAGGGCGGCGCTTGGGGCTTTTTTCCGAATAACGATGGGCTCCCAGTCTTGAGCCAAAGGTCCGGATCCGGCCATTGTTGACTTTAGATATTTGGATGAAAGAAAGGAATGAACCTTTCGATGTTTATAAATGGATTGATGAAAGCGAAGGGCTTCCTCAATTTATAAGAATAAAATCCCTAAAATCATATGGATTGAAGATAGGGATATTATATACGATTGAGCAAGGCGGTTGGAGAGTCATATTTTATAATTTTAAATTATCATATATTTTAAATATATTTTATATATTGTTTTATAAAAAATTATTTTTATCTTATTAAGATTTTATAAATTCATTCTCTTCAAAAGTTTTAAAAATTCGTCAGATAAAAGATCAGATACGTGTTCCCTTATATATATTCAAATTGAAATATAATAATATGATTTTTAAATATTTATATATATAAATTTGTCGTATCACTTTAGAATATTAAGATTTTCCGAAAACATAATTGTAACTAAGATCTTAAGAGTATCTTCAGATCTAGAGTTTTCAAAGCTTTACAACTCTCGATAGATCAATATTTTGATAATTTTTTTGAAAAGAATTCACACGATTTATTAAAATCAATTTATATTTGATCATATTAAACAGATTTAACTATCGTACCAACCTATATATAACTACCATAGAACTACACTTGATATAACACTAAATGTTACTTTAAAATCTCTCGATTAAGATAGAGAGAAATAGAAGCATCCAATAGTAGATTCAAAAATTACTTTTAGGTTGAACGTTATTAGTAAAAAAAAATAACTACTACAAAAAAATTCATATTTCAGAAAGAGTATAGAAAACCCTTATCTCCGTCATCGGAAGCATCCAAGATTTTTCAGTCCATTATTCTTTCTCACAAAAGTGAAGATATTCACACCAGATAAAAAAAAATTAAATTTCAGAGTGAATATAGAAAAACCTTACATCCGTCTATTCTTTCTCACAAAAGAGAGGATATTCACGGATAACAATATTTTATTAATTGACTATGATTTTTTTATTTAAATAAGAATAAATGAACTGCTACAACATAATCAAATTATTCTCATCAACGATATCAAAAATAGAATATATATTTTTGACAATTAACTCAAAGCCTAATAAATAGATAAATGATCTTTTCCACGAAACACTCAAAATGTCCAAATTCAGACCATATTCCCATTTTAATATATGTGTATATGCATTAGATTGCAAATCCAAGTGCCAATAGTCAATAGGTGTGTCAAAATGCAATTCTACAAGAACCATTACAAATGTAATTTCAAAACAAGATACAACAATCCTGTTCAAACACTAAGCTCAAGACTCTCTCCAACTCTGGCAAAATTGTTCCACATGCATCGAATGGTTAGTTCTCTTCCCATAAATATTACTTCCTTAATCTTTCCTACCAATTTCACCTTCCAGTATTGCATGCCTTGTCAGCACAATCTCCTTCACAAGATTCCTATAAGTAAACGGCCAAACCGCTGCTCGCAAAAACAACTCCGGTGGGATTTTACTCTTCTTAATCCTTTTCCTCCATCGACCGATCCCAGGCCGCTTCCATTATTCAGGTCTCACTTTTTCCCATTTACCTCTGTTTAGTTTCATCTCCATCTTCCATAACCTTTTCATTTCTGTCAGCTTGCATTTCCCCCAACCGCTGCTTGTAGAATTTTGTAGATATCTCAGCACTTCGTTTTGCAAGCTTTTTCATCCTATCAGAGCTACTTAATGCCTTCTGGAACTCTTTCTCCCAATACTTTCATCCTCTTCTTCCTCGGATTCTAAATCTTCTTCTTCTTCGGTCTCGAATTCTTCATCTCCATCATCTTCAATGTCCACTACCACATCATCTTGATCCTCTGCTTCATCTTCATCTTTGTCATCATCCTTAATCCAATATGTGAACTGCTCCTCAACCGAATCTCGATGGTCACTGTAGTCCTCATCGTCATCCGGTGCATCACAACCCAACTCCATCTCCTCCAACTTAGCCTTCCATTCCTTTGTATAGGGATGCAAAAGTCACTCGAGATGGTTCTCCAACAAAAACCCCAAACACCTGGACTTCCTTACTTCACTCAACTTCTCAAACCCTTTCACCACATCATCCACAAAAGCCTTTTGACTCACATTCACAATCTTACACAACCCTTCAAAATAACAATATATCTCCACATTCCCATCCTCGTTTTCGACTTCGAACAAGTAACCCCTTTCCGTTTTCGAGAAACGGTATCAATGCGTTAAAGAACTCGTCTTGGGCCTCAAATCTACACTGGTAAACGGGCTTCTTGACATAAATGATATCTGGTCTCATCCAAGCTACACATTGGGTAATGAATGATCTAGCTTTGTTTCCTAATCTTCCCATCAAACTCCACTTATCTAACCTCTCGGTTTTCTTTGCTTCAATCACAACTTCACTAACCAAAGACCATTGTTCCCAAGGCAATTCATTTAATCTTCATTTTAGGTGTCTAACAAACACCCAGAAATACCTAAAACCAAAGGTTTTATCCATCGTTTCCAATCTTTTCCCAAACTCTGAAGCCATCTCGAACTGCTCAATCTTCTCACATTCCCCATGGTTCTTCACTTCCCCTATCATTGTCACCCTTTCATCCGAAAACTGCCCTCGAATCGGTTCCCCAACAATAACACCACACCATTCGCCGTACTTGTACCAAAAAAAAGGTGTTTCAAATTCGGGTCGTCTTTTTCCATGAACTGGACCATCCGGTCATACCCGAGCCCGATTGCTTCCAGCTCATCTTCGGTGAAGTTATCAGCGTAGTTACTTTTTCCCCTTTTTTTGACCGGTAAAATAGGGATTCAGCTCACTTTTTCGATCTTCGACGGACGTTTTGCTTGGCGGCGCGCCTTATCTCTCCATTTTCTTCGAGTCGACCCGACGATTGGCCATCCGGTTTCTTTTTGCTCCGGCCAGTAAATGCACGGATGCCTCGGTGGTGAACGGAAAGAATGGGCGGATATTGTTGCAAAAATCGGTGACTTTGGCGGGGAAACGAAGCCAAGAGACAGGGTTTAGTGGAAGGGAAGAGAAAGAAGGGGTTAGGGTTTTGGAAAAGGACAGATTCTGAGGGTGTATTTTTTTCCTGGCTAAAATAGATAGGAAATTTTGGATTACTTGTTAGGTAATAAAGAATGAAAAACGCTACGTTTTTGGGAGAGAATTCCTTTGGGATGGTTTTAAGGCCCATTTAGCTTTTCCCTGG